CGGTGCTGCGCGGAGCGTTTGTAATGCTCCGCCGTTGCCATTAAATCCAATTATTCTGCTCCTTTACCCTGCAGCCTTCAGGGCTCCGGTTATTCCAGTACAGCCCAGTGGCGCGGGAAGCATCTCCCCGTTAGCGAGCCGATATCCACGTTTAATGGGAGGGCTCGGGACAGGCTGCGGCTCTGGAGCCCGGGGAGGCTGCGCCGTGCGTCAGCACCGGCGTCCCCACCACAACACCGGGCCGTGCTGCCGAAGGCGCCCTGCAGAGCCGGCCAAGGGGCTCACCCCTTGCTTGCTCCCACCGTCAGGAGCTCGGGGTGCGGGGCTCTTGGGGGGCTGTTCTTAACTCTCAGAAATATAAAAGTACTTAGAAATGAGAAAGCTTTCCAATAAAATAGTTGCCTGTAATTATAGGTCAGATTAGGTTTAGGGCTACAGATACGGGGCTGCAACATCACTTAAATCCAGTTTTATAAACTACATGCATGAGTGCAGATAAAAAAAAAATCTGTTGTATTCCCTGGTTCTCCTTAATCTTTCATCAGACAAACCCAGCAATAATTCAGCCAGGAAGCCTTAAATGAAAATCCCTAAATTATTCTGGAAGAAGTCAGGTTAGAGCTGGGGGGAGGAGGGACTCCCACCCTGGCACCCTGCGCAGCAGGAGGAGCTGGGCTGATCCCTGCATCCCGGGACGAGCACTACGGACACAGCGCCCAACCGGCAGCGAGGACAGAAGGGAACTTCATTGAGCAACCACCACTGTTTTCTTACAGATTAATTGCAGACTTCTGCTTCAGCTACACAGTTTGGGGTAAGGCAGGAGGCCAGAAGGGCGGCTCTTCGGGTCATGCAGTGTTACAGAGCAACTAGGTGAGTTATTGCATCTCTGCCGAGATGCTCTAACAACGGCTCTGCCTAGCTCTGCTATGGGGAATCCTGCAACAGAGCAGGGAGAGAAAGCAGAGGATAAAACAACCCGCAAAACCAAAAAGAGAGGCAACCGTAAGGGGCGTTGGTTACGCGGCATTCGTTGCGCTTTAATGCTTCAAAGTCCCTGTTTCGGGTGTGAGGAATGGCTGGACGTACCATCCGCAGAAGCAGGAGTGAGAGGGATGTACTCTGTCGATGTCTGGCTGGTCAAGGATACCCTGGCTCCGGTCAGGTCAATTTTGGTGCTCCGGCAGGTGTTGGAACAGACCTTCGTGTGCTGGTAGAAATCCAGCTCTCCCGAGTCCATGATCTTCCTGAAAGACAGGGAGCAAGCACAGGGATGGGCACGTCAGTGGGAGCAGAGAGCTCCGAGACGCAGCGCCTGGCAGCCTTCACCCCCAAACTTCTCAAAGTCCCAGATGAAAAGCAAAAGCCAGGAGAGCAGGCAGAGGCAACAGGCTGAATTTCCCTTGGCAAGTCCCTGTCCTGACCTTAGAAGCAGCATTAACTAAGAGTTAATTAAAACAGAATCCACAGCCTGCTCCGCACTGGCCACATGCACAAATCCAAGAACCACGCAATACACAGCCTTTCGGGAGCTGGGATGGGGAGAAAAGCGCCCGTCGTGCTGTAGCTGCGGTAAAGGACTGGAGCAGATTCAGTTTCTGTCCACTTCCCTGCCACATCCCGCATCCTCCTGCGGGATGGAGGAGGGGGAGCGGGACTTCAGCCCTCTGAAAAGGTTCCTCTCCAAGTCCAACCCAGAGAGGATGAATTTCCTTAGTCCAAGAAAGTCCTTTTCTTCACCACTGGAGCACTCAACTTGGACTGAGAGGCTCAAAAGACACATGAGCTTTTCCTAAAGATATATCCCTGTAACACTAAACATACCTGGAAAAGAATCGGGACAAACCACACTGCTCTCAGCAGATCTTCGCTGGCTAGAAGCCTTCAGGGAAAATGTACCATTTAGAGCCCAAACACTGCCATTCCCGTAACGGCAGTGGAGCGGGGAGAGCTTTTCCCCATCACCCGGGGCCATGCTCCCATGCAGCAGTTTTATCCCTGCCCTGTGATGCTGAACAGGGTCCTCCTCCCTGGAATCTCCTGACCTGCTCTGAGGACATCCCCCACCTTTGTATGAGCAACACACACCTACCCTGAGCGTGCCCATGCATCCGGGGGGCTCCCCACGGCAGAGGCAGACCCGCCCCGTCCTGCTGCTCTCCCACCTCCTAACAGCAGGGCAACGCTTGGCCTCCAAACAAGCTGGTTTCAGAGCTGGTCCCACCTCTCCGAGCAGGCTCTTCTGCATGCGGGTCTGTAATTTTAACTAGGAACCCTCACTGGGACTGATGAACTCCTGGTTCGTTTAGGGAGGAGGGAGGAAGGAGGAAGGAGAAGAAGGTCCCAGTCTGGCCCCACCAGCACCTTCCCCCTGGGCACACCTGCAGCTTCTAGGAGAAGGGTCGGCTGAAGTCTCAGTCCAGGGCTGAGACAGTAAGAAGTCTCTTCTTTCCCTTTTTGACTCTACACCCCATAAAAAGAGATGGGGCATAACCCTATTTATAAACTACAATAAGGTCTCCCAGCTTAAGGAAAGGAGGTTGCGACATTGGCATATGTGATCTTCCCAGTCTAAGCAAGTTCTCTCCAAGGCATCCCTGGGCTTTGCTGGCCAAGACCAACCTGAGCTTCCCAAGATTTGCTCCCATGGGCTGCTGGGCTGGCCTTCACACATTCCTTGTGAAGTTTTTTTCCTTAAAAGACCTGCCTTGCCAAAGTATAAGCCTATTATGCAAAATATACGTGGAGCAAAAGCTGCTTAGAAGGAATACGGGAGACGCCTGCATGGAAGCAGAAGAATACAGGCAAAGGCAATGTCACCCTGTGAAAACAGCATAAAACCACTGACAATTCCTGGGGAAAGAGGTGATGCATTTTTATCCTGCCTACAGGCAGAGACAGACTTTAATTAAATCACAGTCTCGGGCTGATGTTCAGGAAGACCATAGAAGAATTAAATTGCTACAGTTAAGACTAGAGAAGAGAAATGCTTGCATAAGTAAGCTTTAAATAAGTTGTTGGGGAAAAAAAAAAGTGATATAAAGCAGACATACTGCAACAGGAGCATTAGTTCATGACCAGACTTCCATTTGGTAGGTCACACTGAGAATCCGTAGACAGCATGGTCCAACCACCACTGGCCATTAAAATTTTCAATGACCTTATGCCAGCTGGGAACGTGGTGTGGTTCAAGTCCTAAAAAGACTGGGGAAGCATTTGTTGCCCCAAATTATTCCCTAGGCACAAGGATAAAGCAAAGCCATTGGACAGACCACATTTAGGGCCAGGCTGCTAAGACAAATGTTCAGTGGTGCGTTCGCACTCTCAGCAGCAGAACAACCGTGCCAAAGGCTCTGTCCCACCCCACCGCTATCCCCTAGAAAGAAGAAGTCTCCGCTGCTGCTCTGCAGATACAAAGAGACTCACCGGAGCATGATCCCGTTCATCCGGATTGCCCGCTTCCAGTCCTTCAGGGTCGACTTGCCTGCCAAGTGGACAAACTCCTTGGGACTAATTAGGTGATCGTCAAACTGCAAGAGGCAGAAGCGCAACATCAGTGTGACAAGCCATAAAATAACAAAAGGGTGCCCGCAAGCATGATTCAGCAGCGGAGCCAGGCTGCCTGGATGGCACTTCCTGGTGCCCAGCAGCGGAGCTGCATCGCAGCCTCAACGTGCTGTTTAAGTAATAGCACCAAAACAGACGGCTGACACACACTTCCCCACCTTAGAGGACATTGACCGAATTAAAAAAATTAAAGCCAAATATTGCTTTCATGGATGGTTAGCTAACAGCTGCTCAAAGCCAAGGGTTTAGGGGTGTGTGCAGCACAGAGGAGTTTGCTAAACGCCCAGCCCAGGCAGGACAGCTGGGAAAAACACCCGCAGCTTGTGCAAAGTATCACCGACAGCAGTGAGCCGCTCACGCTCCCACTAACGAGCAGACTCGCAACGAAAGCTGGGCTGCCAGCGATGATGTTTGAGTCCAGGGGCACGCTACGCCCTGCGCAAGCGAGGGAAGGAGAAGCCCATTTGGTCTTTGACCTCCTGCTACTGAGCCCAGCCACCGGTATCAGTGAAACCTCTGGCCTCTCTCAGCGCACACCCACTTCTACTGAAAACCAGCTTTAGGGAGTTGGCATATTCCGTATCAGCAGCCAGCTCTTCCCCCTTCTTTTATTGCCCTACACACCCAGCTCTGCCTGAACCCACGAGTTGACCTAAAAGCAACCTGCAGAATCAGGCAGTCCTCTACAGAGCTGCTTTACAGCCCATCTCAGCAAGAATTTCCCAAGTCCAGGCTTCCTCTTTTCAATGTCCATGTTGACCAACATAGAGCTCACCACTACTGCATGAGAAACTGCTTCTCTGAAGAAGTGCACGGGCTTCAGTGCAAAGAGAAGACCAATTTTAGGCAGCAGCATTATCTGCAGCAGTACCTGTCCTCTGTCTCGGGGATGGAAAAGACCATCTCTCCTATGAAGGGCAAGGACCATCCTTTGGAAAGCCCTCTTGCCACAGAGCCCAGAGGGGACACTCCCTCGGCAGCATACTCTTGAGTCCGTATATAAATGCCAGCGATGGCTTACGACAGCATCACATACGGTACGGTCCTAGAAATGAAAGTTTGGCTCTGCTCCCCAAATTCATGCAAATTTTAACCATTCAATCTATTCAATAGGTCCCTTACCAATAATCTTCTCAACAACTTCTCAACTTTCTCTCTAACTGAGCAGACACTGGAAGTGCCCAAATTTCTCAAACTCTCCAAGAATGCAGCGAGGCAGCATCCCTCCCCGCAGGACTACTCAACTTGGCCGAGAAGACAAATATCAGGTACAACAGCACCAAGAATTTCCTCCTCTCCCACCACAATGTGATTCTGATGCAAAGCAGCTTATCAAAGCTCATCAAAGCCAGGACAAGCCAGGTGAGCCTGCAACGCGGGCACGGGAAGGCACGCGTCCAGCGTCAGGGACCTTTATGCTCACCTGCACACACTTCACGTTGATCCCAGGGCACACAAACTTCCTCCAGATGAGGTTGGCTTTGCTGTCCCCGCAGGTGATGGGGTAGACAATCTCTGCCTCCAAACTGTCCTCATCTTCAGCCATCTTCACTTCTCACAGGGAACAGAGGAAGGGATAGAGCAAAAAGAAACGTGAGTCGCAGCCCCCGATTCACCGCCCTGACCAACACATACATAAAGCAGTTTTGAAGCTCAGGATTTAAAAAAAAAATTTAAAAAAAAAAAAAGCAGGTAGATGATACATGGTGGGGTGTGTTGGAGTTTGTGGCCACCGTTCATTTGCACTTTGCTACTAAAGCATCCAACCACCCAAATTTCTCAGGCAAAACAGCAGTGCAGGCAGATTTATACTGATCCGGCCACAGCTGGGTGTGTGAAATCTGAGAAAGTCCGTGGCCAGGGCTGAAAAAATTCAATTCTTGATAAAAATGAAAGGAATGATGTTGTTTAGGTAATTATAGATTCGCCTTCGGTTTTAGAGTGCAACTGTTTTTAAGGCAGCTCCAGCCCAGCTGGTTACAGTCTTTGCTCACTAAATTCACTTTTACTTGTAACCAAAGCCAGCCAGTTTGCTGCAAAACTGACATTCCCATCGCAAGCTAGAAGGGCAG